ATTTAGATTAAAATGTATTTGCATGAAACATATTTAGATTAAAATGGATTTACATGAAACATATTTAGATTAAAATGTATTTGCATGAAACATATTTAGATTAAAATGTATTTACATGAAACATATTTAGATTAAAATGTATTTGCATGAAACATATTTAGATTAAAATGTATTTACATGAAACATATTTAGATTAAAATGTATTTGCATGAAACATATTTAGATTAAAATGGATTTACATGAAACATATTTAGATTAAAATGTATTTACATGAAACATATAACCATCATATTCAATCTGTAATGCTTGCGTTAATTCCTGACAAATGACAATCTCTTTTTTATTGATTTTTAATTGTTTTGTATTCAGATTGAATTCTAAAGGTCACTATAAAAATGTAAGGTAAAATCCAGCAGGAGTTGTTTCCGGATCATTGGTTTTTTCCCTTGCACCAGAAATATTTAATTTATTAGTGTTGAAAATGGTCATAGCAAAGTTGGGGAGCATTGGGCAGTGATAAAAAATACAAAAAACTTTATCTAAATGTACTGGGTTCAAATGTAGTTGATAATACAGACTCCCAAGAGGATGTTTCTCTAATCACTACAATCTTAACCTGTTCAAGACTAGAGTCAACTGTTATCTTCCTCTCCTATCCATATAAACTACCCACTTAATTTAACCCTCTATCTCAAGTACACCCCAGGCCTTGCCAGGGTGAACTTTACTGTAAAATAAAAAAAATAAAAAGATAAAATAAAATACATCAGTGATTATTGTTTTAATTTTCCCCTACCTCCCACCAAAATTTGCTATCACTCTCCAAAAGCAATTTAAAAAATTTCTCAGCTTGTCTGAGAAACCCTTGTAAAAATTCTATTGTTTGGTCAGATTCCAAAAGGTGGGTTAGGCTGAGAACTTTCTAGTACCTTCTCAGAGATTCTTTAGAATTAATAGAAGTTTTAATGTATTCAATTAATAAATGCATAAGAATTGTAATGGAAAATGGAAGTGGTGAACCAAGTTCAACTTCTAGCCTAGATTTTTTATATTTGCTTTGCACTAACACCCTTGGGAAAAGCAAGAATTTATACCTTTAAGTGATTGACTGGTTTCATTTTTACAGCTTACCAATATTTTGCAGGTTATTTAAAGCCAGAAAATATTTTTAAACTGTCAGAATTTATTTTGAGAGATAATAACAATTCTTACTGATAAAATAAAATAAATTATAGTATTCTACTAATTAACCTACAACTAGAAGAGGTGGATTCATGCCTTTCCCAAAGGTATTTGTGTGTAAGTGAATACAACGAACCCAACTGAAATTGGAACTTGGTTCTCTGATAACTAATTCTGAGCTGTGATCCATTACACCACCCACACATCCAAGCATACAGCACCTAATATTCCCAAATGGTCACCCATCTAGATATAGACCAGTTTCAACATTGCTTAACTTCAGTTTTTCAACTTGGTATGACCAAAAGCTAAATTTATTTCTCCTCCCCTCATCTGTATAGAAGGGAAGACTGTGATCTCTAGCCTTGGTTGGCAGAGAGTTTAATGGAAATAATAATAAAATTCTGGAGAAGGATAAGGAAACTATTCTATTGTTTTTGTTAAGAGGTCATGAAAATTCATGCAAAAGAATGCTGTGGAGACCCATGATTGTCTACAGTTTCATGTGACAGCAAGTTTAAAATGTTTTGTTAATATTAGTTTTGGTTTCAGTTATTTTTTTTTTAACTTATATTGTTCTGATGTCAGTTTAGCAATTTACTAAATGTAGCTTAGACATGGCATGAGGCCAAAATTATGGTCGTAAATGGTATTGGTGATTTTAAAGCCTGTTGAGTTGTCATTTTGAGACACAGTATAAGTGGTAATGTGTACAACACAAAACAATATAAAATATCCCACAAAATAACTGGGTCTCAAACTGCTAACATTTTTTAACTTGCTTAAATGATAAACAACCAAAAGAGGTGTGTATTCACTGAAGAGTTCCTTTCATAGAAATAGTTAAAGGGAGATAATTAATAATCTACATGGAGCACCCAGCGAGGAAACTCCTACTGTCAATTTAATCTGACATCTTTTTTTCTTTATATATTGAGATCAGTTTATTCAAAGTTTATATTTTCTTACTTTCAACAGAAAACTTAAAAATGTTTGTATATATTTCAAGGAAATTTTCATGTTAAACTTCTGCTGGAATTACCTTCTTTTTTTTCGTTTTGGTAACCTTCACTCATACACGAGGCTAGCTCAGTGATTGGCCAATTCTTCTTTTATGTGCTATATCCGTTAAGGACTAAGGTGATCATGGCCCTCCTCATCTTCTTGTCTCTTGTAACTCTTAATAAATTTTGTTTTTTTTTGCTATTTCTCCCCAGCTGCCCAAGTAGACTGGCATCCTAGGATAAAAGTGGCTGCACTATTTACATTTATTTAACCTCCCACATCCTGGTATGGCATTAACTACACGACGTGGCAGAAAAACCTCCCAAATTATGGTAAGACATTAACTAAAGCCTGTGGCAGAAATACCTCCCTCATTACCTCCCACATTATGGTAAGACATTAACTAGAGGCTGTGGCAGAAATACCTCCCTCATTATCTCCCACATTATGGTAGGACATTAACTAGAGGCTGTGGCAGAAATACCTCCCTCATTACCTCCCACATTATGGTAAGACATTAACTAGAGGCTGTGGCAGAAATACCTCCCTCATTACCTCCCACATTATGGTAAGACATTAACTAGAGCCTGTGGCAGAAATACCTCCCTCATTACCTCCCACATTATGGTAAGACATTAACTAGAGGCTGTGGCAAAATACCTCCCCTCATTACCTCCCATTATGGTAAGACATTAACTAGAGGCTGTGGCAGAAATACCTCCCTCATTACCTCCCACATTATGGTAAGACATTAACTAGAGGCTGTGGCAGAAATACCTCCCTCATTACCTCCCACATTATGGTAAGACATTAACTAGAGGCTGTGGCAGAAATACCTCCCTCATTACCTCCCACATTATGGTAAGACATTAACTAGAGGCTGTGGCAGAAATACCTCCCACATCATGGTAAGACATTTACTACAGGGTGTGGCAGAAATACCTCCCATATATTCCTCCCAGAAAGGGCATTTTGACATGGTGTAATTGTTAGCAAGCTTGTCAATAGATCAATTATGACCGAATAGTGATTTTTATCCTCACTGGGTGTCCCATACTTTCGACCCTGTGCCACATCCTATGCTACGCTTAGGATATCACCATATACCTCCCAGAATTAACTCCTACATAAAGGTAAAACAGTATGTGCAGGGTGCAGCAAAAAGACTTCCCATATTTTAAACTGTCACCTGTCTGGTGCTAATGAACTTAGGCAAGTGGCAGAGGGGGGGTCTTTATTTAGCTAATGCAGTTTTTCCCAAATAATGCGGTGTGGCAGAAGAGGATAGAAAGTGAGGCAGAATGATTGAAAGAAAATCAAAGGTTTAGAAACAGTTTCAAAAAAATCCATATGCCAAAAATAAATATGATTTCAAAATTTAAAATATTATTATGAATTATTTGTAATTGATACATGAGTACCAATATAAATAGTTATAAATAATTACTGACCAACTTTATCATTGTGATATTTTTGCATTATATCAAGAATATAGTAACTAGGGTCTGCAAATTATAGGAGAGAGTTATCAATGATAATGTTCTGACTTCGAATACGCAGTTATCTCCCTTTAACCCTCTCTGTTTTTCTATTTTTAAATGTTCTTTTTATCACATAAAATTTTGTGAGATGCGAGCAAATTTTCATTCCAAAAGAGAAAAGTTTTGGGAGTCAATGTATTTTACTGTTATGTGGGAGGCATTGGGGGGGGTCTTCCTTTGGGGGTTCTTCCTTTTTGGGGGGTTTTTTTGGTGGGGGTCTTCCTTCTCGTAAATTTTCCATAATATTTTGTGGAAATTTTTACTTTGCATAAGTATAGCTTAGATATATGAGAAAAAATGTCTGTCGTGGTGATGGGGTCAGTTTAAACTAATACCAGGTGGATTTGGGTTAAAATATATGCTTACTGCCTTCAGAATAGAAAGAAAAGTTGGATTTTAGAAGGAGAATTTGATAAAAAAAAGAAAAAAGAAAGGAATTACTTGAGGAAAGTGAACTTTGAAACTAGTTTTGACTTCAATGCTAACGTTATAACTTTGAGATAAATAGGACCTTTACTCTTTGAACTAAAATTCCTGATAAGCATACCGATAAAAAACTTTCTTAGCATTTATTGTTATCAGTATCATTGTACTTTGTTTTATCTGTTAGCGTCTCTTGGGTGAAAAAAAAAATCTTCCTAGTAGACAAGTAAATAGTCCAACTGAAACAGTTGTAAAGGCTTAATAAAGGTAAGAGCTATTTTCTTTTTAATGTCTCCTGGATTAACTTAAAAATGAAACCCTTTTACTTGTGATTTTAAGTTTGACAGGATCTAGTGTTTTAAAACTGAGGTGAATTTATTACTATGAACAAATTAGTTTCTATCAGCAGTAACATTCTCGGATTTAAAAATATAATTCATATTCACTTCTCGTGAATTTTTTATGGCTTTCATTTTTCTTTTGGTGACGTTCACTCTGTACAATATAAAAATATTTTCTGGCTTTAAATAAACTGCAAAAAAAAAATGAAATAAATCAATCAATGATATACTGATTTGCTACACAGGAATGTCTTTTAGGTTTATTTATATTCTCTGGAATATAAATATATAAAAACTACCGAGGGATCAGTTTCTATTTTATTGTTATATAGAATTGATCCCCGACTTTATATCCACATTATAATTTATTGTTCGTTTACAAAAATTCTGATTAGTTATGAATCCATCTCTTCTCTTCCAGCAATGGGTTAATTAGTAAGATTTGTATTACTAAATCATTATCTCCCCAATAACCAAATGCTTACAATGTAAAAATATTATCTGGCTT